ACTCATATGAAAGAGGTATTTAGGGGAATTCCTTTTCCTCATTCTTTATATATATATTTCTGATTGATATTAACAGCTGAGGGCGTGTGAATTGATCGTCATCAGAGCATTTTATAATAATAGCTGTCTGCCAGCAAGAGTAATAAAGTTGGCTGCCTAAAACTCAGATCGTTTATTTCTAGAATATTTCAAATGATTGATTGGCAAAAAAAAACATAAAAGCTATAATTTTTTTTTTTTTTCATTGAATGAATATACATATGTATGCATTATAATCATATATCATAAATCATTATAAAAATAATGCTGAATTTGCATTTTTATATAATCCAAGAGTAAATATTTTAATATGTGTATAAAATTTAATATTTAAAGCAAAAGATTTGTTTTGGATTGTTATCATTTTTTTATTTTTTATTTTATACCATAAAGCATATGCCAAATTTTTTGTTATTTCAAATTTTTCCAATTTTATGCAGTTTTTCAATAAATGTTTACAATTGACAACAAAAAACAAAGCAAATAATTTCCACATTTTTAAAAACTCGAAAGTTTGTTGCTATTCCGTTTGTAATTTTGCCATTCGCCGCGAACTGGCTGCAGTAATCGCAACGGCCTTCGAGCGAGTTGGCATGCCCGCAGCGCAGCAGAGCAAGGTGCCAAAGTGAGTAAGTTGATTGTTTATTGAACTTCTGCTTAACTGCGCTCTGTTGTCAGCAGCCTGTAGAATCCAAATATTTGGTTTGATTTATGACAAATTCCATATTTTGCATAAGCCTCAAGTAAGCGAATTAAGGAGTTATACAATTGGCTGTAGAAGTGCGAACTTTGAGACACATTTTGCTGCAGCTGCGCGCAGACGACATTTCGATTCAGAAAACGGGAGTTGTTGGTGAGAGGTGACACAAACACACACCCACACGCACACCCATGAGCGCATGCATATATATATGTATATGTATAAATCTATATATATATTGAATGCGCTCATCTGAAGAGTGCATTGATTTTTAACACTTCGATTGCAGTTGAACCGGAAATGGCGGAAACGGACAAACAACTGGAAGACACTGTGGACGCCTGTCCACGCAAGGACTACCTGCTGGAGCGATTGAACAAGCGCAACAAGGATCGCCAAAACTATTTGGATATTAAGCTGGAGCAGCGCAACAAGGAGACCGCCTTGAACGAGGGCGTCGACTTCTTTGCTCAGTCGTTTGGGGAGCGCGCTTGCGAAATTGAGCAGAGGATTAGCACACTGCAGCTGGACAGCGGAGATGCACCGTTGCCCGATCTCACCAAGGTATTCGGCGACATCACTCGGCAAATCCAAGAGCTGCAGAATTATTTGACAGCTTCCACAATGTTTTTGTCGGACTTCAAAATCAAATCCTGTCAAAATGTCCTGAATTCGTTGACCAGTGCCTGCGATGAAGCTCGTCAGCGTTTGTTGCCCAAGAAGAAATTCGGATTCAGTGGCAAGAAGACGTTGGCTAAGAAGTTGCCGCCCGCTCAGAGCAAAGTGGACGGACAGGAGAAGACACAGAAAGCAACTTCAGACAGCGCCTTCATCTGGACCATAGCCAATCGAAACAATGCCCACATTGTGCTACGGGCAGAGCAGGTGAATGGAAAGGATATCACCATATCCAATGTGCACAAGTGTCTGGTGGAACTGCAAGGACACGCCGGCTCAGTACAGATCTCGAAAGCCAGTCAATGCACGATCCTCTGTGGTCCCGTGTCGCGCTCCTTCTTTGCAGAGCATATGGAACGCTGCACCGTGGCCATCGCCTGCCAGCAGCTGCGCTTGCATTCGTCGCAGTCCACGCGGATCTACTTGCACGTCACCTGCAGAGCCATCATTGAGGATTGCCGGCAAATCGAAGTCGATGTCTACAACTATGACTACGCCGAGCTGGAATCGGACTACGAGCAATCCGGATTGAATAAGTCGCAGAATAATTACACAGACATTGCCGACTTCAATTGGCTGTCGCCCGATGTCCACTCACCCAATTGGCAGCTGCTCAAGGATCACGCAGCGCCCAACTGGAGCGCCGTTCGCCGGGACTTTCTCAATCGAAGCAGCGGCGAGGCTGATGTCAAGGATGATGCCAGCATTATATAGTGCTGGCATCGGCGCAGGCGACTCTTTCTCTTGCTTGTCACGCTGCTCGCCTACGCCTTCCCATTGGGCTGGCTGCTCATGGAGCTGCTGTTGCCGCTGCCTAGCAATCTAAACTGTACTGTGTAGACTAGCTCGTAAGCCCCGCATAAATAAATAATCCCAAGTTAATGTTGATATATACATACATGCATACATACACATATACATATATATAACTCAAGCATGTCTTCACATTTGTGTGTGCTCTGCGGGCGGCTCCATCAGCTCAACTCGACTCAACTCAACTCAACTCATCATCCGCACATTTGACATGTCCATTTGGCTGGCCTAATCAGCGGCCAGCCCCAAACTGTTGGCTCTGTGACGGCGACTGTCACACAAATTACCGTTACAACGGCAAGCAGCTGTGGTCAGGCGCTCGCTGGGGCAGTTGGAGACGGTTTGACGGGCCGATTCATGCGAAATTCGTGTGGCAAATGGGGACCAATCCCAAATGGGTCTGATTATCCAAAATAGAGATGGCTCTACTTTTCGACGGGGCTGTGGACTATGTGAGAAAGCTTGGCAGCATTGATATTATATGTATATGTGTTATTAGCATTAGTATTAATATTATTTTTGTCATTGTCATTGCCATTTTATCATTATCTAATTGATGTAAGTGTGAAAGCTATTAAATTCTTAATCCAATCAACTAATTATACAATTTCCATTATCATCAATTAACTTACATATCCTATTCTATTCCTTGTTTTCCCATCCACTTGCCTGTTTAGTTCTAACCACAACAATTACTATTTTCATTACAATCTCAAGTAATTTATACAAAATTCTCAAACTCCAATTGTTGATTGAAGTGGAAAGGGTATTAAATTGTTCCCATGCTGCAATTGACATATGTATGTATGCCTTAGCATATGTATTTCACTCCACTTGTTGTTGTTGTTGTTGTTGTTATAGTTCATGTCAACGTATCCAACTGTCAAAATAATTAACGAATTCGACTTACATGCCAAGTAATTGGGTAGTTAGGTGCGCCGCTCGAAGATGACGGGTGGTTGCGTGGATTGGGTGGGGGAGTGGAGCCACCGCTGAGGCGCTGTAAGTCAACGCATTAGCGGGGGTAATTGAACTGCAAATTACACAACAGCCGCAACTCTGTGGGAGGTGGGGAGATGGAGAGAGAGAGAGAGAGAGAGAGAGAGAGAGAGTTTGTAAGTCTGCGTGGGTGTCTGTAAATGTGTGTGAAGTGAGGTTATGTAATAAGCTGTCAGTGGTAACAGTTGTCATCATTAGGTTTACATACACACACAAACACACATGCTAATAAGAAAATATTCTAATTCATGTACACATATGAAGATATACAAATATACATATGTATGTATATTGTATATCTGTAAATAAAATCATGTAACCACAGCTGTTTTGCTTAACACCATTTTCGTACATGATAGAGAGGGAAGATATTATGGGAATTTTGTATAATTGATTCGTTGGTTTCTTAAGATGTAAAAGATAATAGAAGTACTGCCATATCTATACGTTTATCTACATGTCTGTCTCTCTCTCTCTCTCTTTCTTTCTCTCTCTCTTTCTCACACTCTCTCTTTCTTTCTCTCTCTCTCTCTCTCCTATATCTGTTTTTGAACAAAGGTTTCTCAACTATTCACATCTTATAGATTCTAGCATAACTTCATATAGGGTATTTCTTAGTTAATCATCACAGAAACGTTCACGACTGTCCTTTGTATTGCCCAAAGCGTTGCCATTGATAAAGCTAAACTCTAAAAAATTAAACAAAAACCAGAAGCAAATTCAAGATGAAGATGTGAAGGAAGAAGACAATAAAAGGTACAAGGCAAACAGTTTGGCAGGTATTGCAGCTGCAGCAGAGGAGCCAAGACAAAAGACCAGATAGGAGCACAGTTGGAAGTCCGAAAACATTTGAAAACCGTCAATTAAAGAGCCGGCACATACGGGCTAGCAAACTTGGCTAGAGACTTGGGCTTTGGCTTTGGTTTCGGCTTTGCCTTTGGCTGACTCGTGCAATTAAATGAAATGCAAGCGCAGGGGGTGTGGCAGTAATGGAGGCGGTTGGCAGTGCAGCAGTAGCTGCTGTTGCTGCGTGTACAGAGCTAATCAAAATTGTGGTTAAAGCATTTCTGGGGATTACCAACAGAGACGCATAATCGTGACTGCGGTTGCAACTTTGTTGAAACTTTAAGTCGCAGCGCAACTTTTACAAAACAAGACTTTAAAGCAACAAATGCAGCAGCATTTGCTTTATAAATAACCAAGCACATTATATATAATTAAATATTCAATGTACTCAACAGATAATATAAAAAATATACTTTGCCATAAAATTAAACAAAAAGATTTAAAAATGTGTCTGCATACTTTTAGGCTGAGCTTTAATAACAGTCGACAGCATCGCTGCGCTGTTATTACAACATAACAGCTCAGGGCAAATGTTAAGCTGGCCAGTTGCAGCTCTTAACTGCAATGGCTCTCAAACTGTGAAGGCTTAGCAGGCCTATGGCATTTCTTGCATTTTCGAATATAAAGGAAAATATAAGCCAAAATTAATTAACATGCAGCCATTTATGTGCTGTCGGCAAGACATCTCAGTACTATGCTTGTGGCTTACGGCCATAATCAGTTATCAA